CTACAACAGAAATGGCTGTGTTTGGAAGAGGGGAGGGTTTGGGGAGAAAGATAGTGAGTCCTGTTTTGTACTTGTTGAGTTTGAGTTGTGCTTGGGAAATCCAGTTTGAAAGGCTTGAAAGGCCCACCAGGCAATGGTGATGAGGGACTAGAGCTCAAGAGAGAGGTTAGAGCTAGAGAAATGGAATTGTGAGTGATTTTCATAAAAGTGACAAACCTACAGGTGCTAATGAAGAGAGAGAGAGGGAGGAGAGAGAGGGGAGAGAGAGAGAGAGAGAGAGGGAGGAAGGGAGGGAGGGGGAGAGAGAAGAGAGAAAGAGAGAGGGAGAGATGAGACATGAGAGAGAGAAGAGAGTGAGAGGAAGGAGAGAGAGAAGAGACAGAGAGGAGAGATGAGAGAAGGGAGTGACAGGGAGGAGAGAGAGAGAGAAAGAGAGAGGAGAAAGAAATGATAGAAAGAGAGAAGAAAGAGAGGGAGAAATGAGAGAGAAGAAAGTGAGAGGGAGGAGCAAAAGGGAGTAAAGAGAGAGGAGAGAGAGGGAGGAGAGGGAGAGAAGAGAGAGGGAAGAGAGAGATATGATAGAGAGAGAGAAAGGGAGAAAGATGAGAGAGAGAAGAAAGGGAGAGATAAGTGAAGGAAGTGAGAGGGAGGAGAGAGAGAGGAGAGATAAAGGAAGAGAGAAAAGAGGGAAGGAAGAGAGGGAAAGAGGAGAGGGAAATGGAGAAACAGAGAGGGAAAGAGGAGAGAGAGAGAGAGAGAGAGAGAGAGAGAGAGAGATTGGAGGGAGAGAAAAGAGCCAAGGGCAGAGCTTTGGGGAGTACCTATAGTTAAAGGGTGATAAACTTGCAAAGGAGACAGAAGGTCAGGTTTCTCTGAAACCCTCTTTCTGGGTTGGAAGAGAACCAAGAAAGTTCAGTGTCATGAAAACAAAGAGTGGAAAAGGAATAAGGAAACAGAGAAGAAGATGGTCAGTAGTGTTAAACACAGCAGATGCACAAGGACTAAAAAGATCGCCAGCTATGGCAATTAAGAGTTCTTTGGAGTCTTTATTTATCTTATTTTCAGGTCTAATTTTTTCCCCTTGACTCCTTCATTGAAGAAGCAAGAAAAACAAAACTGATTGCAAACATGTCTAGTTGACCAAATGACATTCCTGAATTGGCCGTGTCCAACACCTCCCCTCCCAAGCCTCTGAGTCCATCAGTTCTCTGTCACGTGGTGGGTGGCATGTCTTACCAGGAGTCCTAGGGAACTGTGGTTGGTCATTGGGTTGATCAGAGCTCCTTCCTTAGGCTTTCAGAGTTGCTCGTCTTTACAGTATTGTTGTCGTTGTATAAATCGTTCTCCTGGTTCTGCTCGCTTCGCTTTGCATCAGTTTGTACAAGGCTTCCCAGGTTTTTCCCAGACCATCCCCTTCATCATTTCTTACAGCACAATAGTGTTCCCTCACATCCTTGGTAACTTTGGAAAGAGCAGTTTCAGTTGAGTGATAAGGTTGCTGTTGCTGTTTTGTTTGTCCTTCGTTCTCGAAGAGGACCATGACATCAGGAAGATGGTGTCATGACTTGCAAGTGAATTGGATTTAAGTGAGGCAGGGCTGGGCAAGGTCACCAGCCTCACTTTCTCCTCCAGAGCCATCTGGGTCCAGTGGCAGCACGTAGATCAGGATGACTGGAGATGACCTCTCAGTGAGGAGGTTAGATAAAAGCAAGATTACAAAGCATTGAGGGGTGAGAGTCAAGGAAGCAGAGGCACAAATGGAGACGACTTTTTCAATGAATCTGGCTAAGAAAGGGAGGAAAGTTACAGGATGAGAGCTTGAGGGAATGTGGGGTCTGGACAGTTAGATAGCAAAGTGGCTAGAGTGCTGGACTTGTATTCAGGAAGATCTGAGTTCAAATCCAGTCTCAGACACTTGCTATCTGTGTGACCTGGGGCAAGTCACTTCATCTCTGCCTGCCTCAGTTTCCTCAACTGTAAAATGTGGAAGGTAACAATAGCATCAGCCTCCTAGGGTTGTTGTGAGGATAGAGTAAGACAAATATTTGTTGGGGCAGTTAGGTGGCACAGTGGATAGAGCACCAGCCCTGGAGTCAGGAGGACCTGAGTTCAAATCCGGTCTCAGACCAGATGCTTGACATTTAGCAGCTGTGTGACCCTGGGCACGTCACATAACCCCAATTACCTTGCCAAAAAAAATAGTTTAAAAAAAAGATAAATACTTATAAAGTGCTTGGTAAATGCTAAAATTGCTACATATTGCTAGGTATTATTAGTAGTGAGGCTTTGGTTTGGTTTGGTTTTGTTTTTTTGAGAATAGGTGTGACTAGAATGTGTTTATAGGCGGTAGGGAAGCATCCAGTAGACAGGAAGAAATTGAAGGTGATGATTGAGAGGGCAGTCTGCTGGAGGAATAGTAAGGAATGTGCTCAAAGGCACACGTAGAGGGGTTAGGCTTGGCAAGGAGAAAGGCCGGCTTGCTTTCAGAGCCTAGGGCAAAGGAGGAGAGATGGGGATGATGTGGAGTGTTGGGAAAGAAGAGGAGGGGAGAAGATGGCACTTCCAGCCAGTGGCTTCAATTTTCCCAGGAAAGTAACAAGTGAAGACCTAGCTTAGTGTGGGGAAAGGGAGGTGTGCAGTGGGCTACACATGGACATCCAAAGGGGGAAAGAAATGACACTGCCCTGGCCTCTAGGAGCTTACGTTCTATTTGAAGGAGATGACATGATCCAGATGTGGGTAATACAACGTAGGTGAAAACAACAACATTAGACAAAGTACTTTAGGAAGTCTTGAGGAGAGAGGGGACGCCTTCGGCCGGGGACACCCAAGCTGGGCCCCGAGAGAAGAGGAGGATTCTGAGAGGCAGGGATGAGGAGGGAGGCCCGGACCGTGGCTTGTGTGCAGGATGGAATGGCAGGCAGGTCAGAGGGCAGGTAGAATATAGGGCAGTCTGTTAGGTAAGCAAGGAATTGCTGTGAAATTGGGCTGCCTGGAGCCAGATGGGGAAGGGAGGGCCTTAAAGATTAGGCTGCAGTTTGTGTTTTATCCCAGAGGAAATGGAGAGCCATGGAGATTCTCCATCAGGATGGTGACATGATCCAGCCGGCATTGCAGGAGAATTAATTTGATAGAAATGCGGAAGATGGATTAGACAAAGGGGAGAATGGAAGGGGAATTTGTGGACGTGCAGAATTTACTTTATACTTTTTATTTTTTCTTTTCTTTTTTTCTTTTTTTAGGCAGTTGGGGTTAAGTGACTTGCCCAGGGTCACACAGCTAGTAAGTGTCAAGTGTTTGGTCTGAGGCCGGATTTGAACTCAGGTCCTCCTGACTTCAGGGCCGGTGCTCTATCCACTGCGCCACCTAGCTGCCCCTACTTTATACTTTTTAAAAAGCGAGGGGAAAGACTTGGAGATGTGTGGTTTTATATATAGGGCTGTGTTCTGGTGGGCTCATTTTTTGGTGAGGGGAGGTTAAGTTCACAATTTAAAAAGTTCGTTCAGAGTCACTTTACAGAGAATGGAAGCAGATAGACCAATCAGGAGGCAGTCCAGGTAAGAGGAGGCCACGATGAGGGTCCCGATGCCTTTGGGGAGGGGAGAAGCAACAAGGCCTCGAAATGATTGCATACTGGATTGGACGTTAGACGTGGAGTCAGGAAGATTTTATTGTTTAGTCATTTTTCAGTGATGTCCGACTTTCTGTGACCCCATTGTGGGGTTTTCTTAGCAAACATACTGGAGTGGTTTGCCATTTCCTTCTCCAGCTCATTTTACAGATGAGGGAACTGAGGCAAACTGGGTTAAGTGACTTGCCCAGGGTCACATAGCTAGGAAGTGTCTGAGGCTGGATTTGAACTTAGGAAGATGAGTCTTTCTGATTCCAGGCTCAGTGCTCTACGGCGCCCCCTAGCTGCTCTGGAGTCAGGAAGACCTGGGTTCAAATTTGACCTCAGACGCTTACTAGCTGTGTGACCCTGGGCAAGTCACTTGACCTCTGTTTGCCTTAATTTCCTCATCTGTAAAATGGGGATAACAACAGCAACCATTTCCCAGGGTTGTTTTGAGGATCAAATGAGATAATGTTTGTCAAGCGCTTCACAAACCTTAAAGCCCCATGTACATGCTAGCTATTATTAACGTGTGTGTAGCCGTCTCTTTGTGAATGTGTATGTGGGGGTGGAAGGGTTTACAAGGTGAGTGGGTAACCTTGTCCTGGCGCACCAGTCTGTTGAGCTGTCCCTGGTAGGGTCCTGTCTGGTTGGGTCATCTTCCAACACTTCCCTTGCCCAGTTGTGTGGCAGTGACTGCCGTCTGGGGCAGGGGCAGAGGGGCTGAAGGCTGTGGGTGCAGGTGGAGGCCCCCCTGGGACTGAGGCCAGAGCAGGGTGTGGTCCGCCATCGGCTGAGGCCAGAGGGGGTCTGGCCCCCGTGTAACTGAGCCTGGCAGGGTTTTCCCCATATGCCTGAGCCCCTGGAGGTCTGGTTGCCATGTGACTGAGCCTGGAATGGGGTCTAGTCCTCACGTGACTGAGCCTAGAGGGGTCTGGTCCCCATATGGCTGAGGTGGGGGGTTACTGACTGCCATGTGACTGAGCCTGGAAGGGGTCTGGTCCCCCTGGGGTTGGTTCCAGAGGAGGTCTGGTCCTGGTAACTGATCCCAGAGGGTATCTGATCCCCAAGCTGAGCCTGAAAGGGTTTTGTCCCTGTGATTGTGCCTGGAGGGTGTTCAGTCCCCTTAGCCGATCCCAGAGGGCGACCAGTCCCCTGGCTGAGCTCAGACAGAGTTGGTCCCTATGGCTGAGTCTTGAGGGGGTCCAGTCCCCATTGCAGGACCTAGAAGGGGTCTGATTCCCATGGCTGGACTCAGAGAATGCTCAGTAGCCCTGAGTGAACCCAGAGGGCATCCGGTCCTTGTCACGGAATTCCGTCCCTCAGAGAATGCTGAAGGGGTCCCGTCCCTAGGGCCGAGCTCAGAGGGTGTTCTGTCCTCCCCTAGCTGGAGCAGAGCCTTCGGCTGGAGTCCGGGGAGCGGGAGCCCTTGGGGTACGGGGTGCTGGGCCAGCAGACCTTGGAGCTGCGACGCCAGCTAGAGGACGAGCAGGCCAGCTACAAGCGCAAACTCCAAGCCTACCAGGACGGGCAGCAGCGCCAGGCCCAGCTGGTGCAGAAGCTACAGGCCAAGGTGAGGGCGCGCCTGGGAGTGCCCCCACCCCCGGGGCTGCCCTGGCTACAGGGATGGGTCCAAGCCGCCGGACCATCCGCACCCGCTCAGCCAGGGGTGCCCCACCTGGGGCCCGTGAACTTGTCTTGTTAAGGTTCTGACCACTGCATTTCAATACAACCGGTTCTTTTGTACTCCAGTATATTTTATTTTACGCATTTAAAAAAACATGATTCTGAGAAGGGGTCCCCGGAAGCTTCCCTAGACAGACTAAGGGATCCGTGATAGAAAGAAATTTATGTTTTAAGCAGATTTAATACAGCCTCTTCATTTGACGCATGAAGAAACTGAGGCCCAGCAAAGTGGAATGATTTGATCAAAGTCACACAGGGGAAAAGTCAGGATTTGAACTCAGGGCTGCTGACTCCAAATCCAGGCCTGTTTCCATGGTGCAGTGGTGCCTGGGCTTTGTTAAGATGGATACCCATGCCCTTCTGGACATGCCCACCTGTATATACCCTGAGGCTTCCGTGGAAATGAGGATGTGGGCCCTCCCACTCTACTCTTTCCTAAAGTTACTGGTATTTCTCAAAGTCTCAAGTGAGGAAAGCATTTGGGGTGGAAGGTGAGGGGGGTGAGGGCGGGGAAACTGAGGCCACTCTGGTGGAGTAAAAAGAAGCCTAGACTGGGCGTCAGCAGAGCCAGATGCTACTGCCTGTGTGACCTTGGTCAAATAGCTTAACCTCTCTGAGCCTCAGTTCCCTCATCTATAAAATGGGAATAAGGATACTCAGACTGTCACTTTGCAGGGTTATTGTGAGCAAAGCACTTTGTAAATTGTGGAGCTGTTTGTAAATGGGAGGTGTCATAAGACAAGGATATGTGGTGGCAGAAGATCTGAACTCAGATCCCAGCTCTACTACTTACTGCCTCTGAGCTGGAGCAGCTGACTCCCTCTCTTTGGGCCTGGTTTTCCTCACAGTAAAATGAAAGGTCTAGACTGTGTGGTCTCTGAGATCCCTCCCAGCTCTGACATTCTGGGTTCTAAGGCCCTCCTAGCTCTGACCTTCTGTTCTAAAACCCTTCCGGCTCTGACATTTTCTGTTCTGAGCTTTCTCCCAGTTCTGACATTCTGTGTTCTAAGGCCCCTCCCAGCTCTGACGTTCTGAGTTCTAAGGCCTTCCCAGCTCTGGCATTCTATGTTCTAAGGCCCTCCTAGCTCTGACATTCTCTTCTAAAACCCTCCCAACTCTGACATTTTCTGTTCTAAGCTTTCTCCCAGTTCTGACATTCTGTGTTCTAAGGCCCCTCCCTGCTCTAACATTCTCTGTTCTAAGATCCCTCGCAGTTCTGGCATTCTGTGTACTAAGGGTCCTCCTAGCTCTGACATTCTTTGTTCTAAGACTCCTCCCAGCTTTATGTTCTAAGGTCTCTCTCAGCTCTGACATTCTCTATTCTAAGGTAATTTCCAGCTCTGACATTCTCTGTTCTGAGGCCTTCCCAGCTCTGAAACTGTGTTCTAAGCTACCTCCCAGTTCTGGCGTTGTGTTCTAAGGGCCCTCTCAACTCTGATATTTGCATTCTAAGGTCATTCCCAGTTTTGACATTCTGTGTTCTAAGGGCCCTCCCAGCTCTGCCATTCTCTGTTCTAAAGCTCCTCTCAGCTCTGACATTCCATGGCCTTTCTTAGCTTTAACATTCTCAGCACTGACATTCTATGTTCTAAGGCCCTTCCCAGCTCTAACATTTTGTGTTCTAAGGTCATTGCACTAACTCTGACATTCCATGTTCTAAGACCCTCCCAGCTCTGCCATTCTCTGTTCTAAGGCTTCTCCCAGCTTCGACATTCTGTGTTCTAAGACCCCTCCTAACTCTGACATTCTCTGTTTGAAGGCCCCTTGTTGCCCTAAATTCTCCCAGCCTATACTAGTAATGGGGTGGGGGTCAGATAAGGTTGAGGACTACTCTGACTTGCCGCCCTCCCCCAACCCTCCCATCCCCTCAGGTTCTCCAGTACAAGAAGAAGTGTGGAGAAGTGGAGCAGCAGCTTCTGGAAAAATCTGCAGAGCTGGAGCACCAGAAGTTAGCGGTAGCTGTCCCTCCTCCCACCCCTGTTCACCCCCACACCCTTGACCCTGGACCTGTCCTTTCCTCAGGGTTCCCAGTGCTTGCCACATCTAGGTAGGATGTAGACAGGGCTGACTGGTGAGTGCCAGGAGAGAGGCCTCTTGGAGCCAAGCCAGGGGATTGAGCCAGGAAGCTGGCCCAGCTCATGGCAGGTGCCTTGGTGCAGTGATAAGAGCCCTGGATTTGGAGTCAGAGCATCTGGGTTCAAATCCTTGTTCTGACACTTACTAGCTGTGCAACTCGAGGTTAATTCCTTCCCCTCTCTGGACCTCTGTTTTCCCCTCTGAAAAAGGAGGGTCCTGGGTGAGGTGATTCCCGAGGTCTGTCTCCTATGATCTTCTGGCTCCCTGGTCCCTGCCAGCTGACCTGTCTCTCTGGGGCCCATCCTTGTGGGGGCAAACTGGATGTGTCTTTGTGTCTCTAGCAGGACGAAGAACACAGCCAGGACCTGGAGAATGCTCTCGTTCGGCTGGAAGAGGAGCAGCAGAGGTGAGCACCTGGGTGGGCAGCACCTCTTTACTAGGGAGGGTGCACCGTGCTCCTGGGCGCACGCTCGGGACTTACCTCCCGCAGTCCCTTCCTTTCCCTCCCGCCTCCTTAATGGGCTGGTGGCTGTCGGCCTACCTGGTGCTGGCTGACCCTCGTGCCTTTTGCCTGGGCACCATACAGTCACAACCTCTGGGGCTTGGCCCGTTGGTAGAGCAGGAATTCAGAGTTAGGGCCGGGAGCCTGAGCCGTCGTCCACCTGCAGGAGCGCCAGCCTGGTGCAGGTGAACGCCATGCTTCGGGAACAGCTCGACCAGGCCAGTGCAGCCAACCAAGCCCTGGCCGATGACATCCGCAAAGTGACCAGCGACTGGACCCGGAGCCGGGGGGAGCTGGAGCAGCGAGAGGCCGAGTGGCGGCGGGAGGAGGAGGTAGGAGGAGCAAGGTCTCAGGGCCCTGAATTTCCTGTGCATGCTTAGCCCTTTCTTTGGGGGCCATGTCCTTTGTCCGGCTCCCTGGGCCTAGGGATGCTAAGGGGCTCTCCCTAGAAGCCCACCAAAGAGTCCATTTCAGTTTCTGCCGCAGACCCTAAATAGTTGGCCGTGGGTGGTCCACCAGCCTCCTGACCAAATCTCAAGACTGCTTCTTCTCTCCTCCTTGGGGCCCTTCAGGGAGAACATATACACTCATGCACAGAGGCTCACTTGTAATTGTGGTTATAGAGATGGGGATACGGACCAGACTTGTGGTAAAGGGAACTCAGGACCTCTGTCCACCAGTGCCTTCTCTTCAGTTGAGAGCTTCAGATTGCCAGGGGCCCTGCCCATGGTCCCCCAGGTCCTGGGGGTCTGAGACAGCCAGGCTGTCTACACTTAACGTTACCATGAATGACCACCAGATTTCCATTAATGATGACCCATGCTCAGAAGCTGTCTTCAAGTGCCTCACTGTAGTGTGATGGCGGCTGTGGGTTTGCAGAAGTTATGCCAGCTGGATAAAAGCGTCGACATCTCCTGCTAAGTTGGTACCAGGGTGACCAGCTTTCTCTATGCTGTGGTGGAAAGACCATTGGATTACTCTGGATTTATAGGATCTGAGTTCAAAACCTGGATCCTGTGTAATCTTGAGCAAGTTACCTCCCCTCTGTAGGCCTCAGTTTCCTTTTTCTGTAGAAGTCTAGGCTTGACCAAGATGATCCCTGAAATCCCTTTTACCTCCAAATCCTAGGATCCCTAGAGACCCACTGCCTTAAAACCAGACTGTGAATTCGGAAAGTATTTATTAAATGTCAACTGTATACCAGGCTCTGAGGATATGAAAAGAAACACACACACACACAGAGTCCCTGCTTGCAAGGAGCTTACATTCTGTTTTGGAAGCAAATCTGCACACGTAATTCTATTTTTAAAAATACGATGGGAAACAGTGTGGTAACCCTGGAGAGCATGCTGAATTTGGAGTCAGGGGACCTGGTCAAATCCTAACTCTAACGTTTGACGCCTGTGTGACCTTCACCAAGTCACTTCGGTTTCTCCAGGCCTCGGTTTCCTTATTTGTAAAATGAAGGGGTTGGACCAGATGACCTCTGAGGTTCCTGTGAACTCGAAATCTGTGACCCTGTGAGGAGATTGTTCATTCATCAAACAATCAACAAGCATATAGCCTGCTATTAATAATATAATATAATATAATTTAATATAATATAATGTAGTAATAGTATACCTGGCACTCTGCTAGAAACCTGGGATACACAGATAAAAATCGAGCGGGTCCTGCCCTTGAGGTGCTTACTCTCTTTGGGGGAAGACAACATGTATACATATAGAAGTGTGTGCAAAAGAAGTTTATGCAGAAAAATTAGATTAACTTTGGCAGTGGGTCTTAGAGGCTGTTGTTGTTCACTCATTTTCAGTTGTGTCCGGCTCTTCGTGACCCCGTTTGGGGTTTTCTTGGCAGAGATGCTGGAGTGGTTTGCCATTTCCTTCTCCAGCTCATTTGACAGATGAGGAAACTGAGGCAAGGGTGAAGTGACTTGCCCAGGGTCACACAGCTAGGACGTGTCACAGGCCGGATTTGAACTCGGGTTCTCCTCAGTTCTATCCACTGTGGTGCCATCTAGCTGCCCCAGTGGCTGCGGGGATCACAAAAGGCCTCGTGTAGGAGACGGCACCTGAGCAGAACCTGAAAGGAAACAGGGGAGTCTAAGAGGCCTAGATGAGGAAAGAGAGCTTCTGGGGTGGGGGGTGGGGAGATAGGGTGCATGGATAGAGCGCTAGACCTGAGTTCAGATCCGGCCTCATTCGCACAACACTTACTAGCTTTGTGACCCTGGGTAAGTCGCTGAACCCCAGTTGCCTCGCCAAAAAAACAAAGTAGCTCAGGTGACAGTGGGCTCCAGTCTCAAAGGGGCGTGGTTCTATGTAGGGGGCAGGAACACTCCCACTGGGGAAATGAAGGACCCTCAAGAGATCAGAGAAGTGACTGTGGGCACTGGCGAATGTTACGACTATCGCTTGTTAATGATAGTCTTCGAGGATGGTGACTAACTGATACCTACAAAGCGTACCCACAGACACGATGTCATTTGATCGTCATAAACAGCTCTGGGGGAAAACTGAGGCCAGGAGAAGGGAAGTTCCTTCAGTCAGTTAATAAACATTTATTAAGTGCCTACTCTGTGCCAGGCACTGTGCTAAGTACTGCAGAGCCCCCCCCCCCAAAAAAAACCCTTGCCTTCAAGGCGCTTCCAATTTAATGAATTAGATGCACAGAATCACCGAATCTCAGTGTTGCAAGGGACCTCAAAGGCCATCTGGTCTAACCTCTAGGAGAAAAAGAACCCCCCCCCCACTGTAATATCCCTGATGAGCGGTCATCCCAGCTTAGTTTGAAGACCCTCGGGGAGGGGGGACCCCCTCACTCTACTCCTGGATGGTTTTAATTGTTAGGGCGCTTTTTCTTTCCACCTGAACCTGCCTCTTTGCTGCTGGTGCCTATGCCTCGGCGTCCTGCTCCAGCTACTTGGTCAGTAAGGGATCAGGAAGGGCAAGTGGACAGAGGGCTCTATTTGGAGTCCAAAGACCTGGCCTCAAGTCCCAGCCTGGGACTCTGGGTAGGTCGAGGCCTCTTTAGGCCTCAGTTTCCTCCTCTATAGAGTGAAGCGGTTGGACTCGATCTCTTTTAATTCTCATTCTAAGCCCCTGCCATCTGGGTCTCGCAGTTCCAACGCCTCTATTTTGCGTGCAGACACATTGCTTCGCATAAACATGCCCATTTAAACACATTCCCACACGTTACACAAATAAGGCCTCCTCCAGGACTCTCCCTCTTGGGCATCTCAGGAGAGAGGCTGACATAGTGAAGTCTGGGAATTTTCCCTTGGTCGTCTGTCCAGAGATGGGGTACACGTAGATACTTCTCCCCTCCCCGTTCCCTGCTCTGGGAGAGAAGTGTGAGCTGTGCTGACCGGCGAGGGTGAGTGCTAGCCATCTCAACAATTCACCATCGCCCCTTCCATGCTTTCTCCCAGTCTTTCAATGCTTACTTCAGCAATGAACACAGCCGGCTGCTCCTTCTTTGGAGGCAAGTAGTGGGCTTCAGGAGGCTGGTCAGTGAGATGAAGACTTCCACGGAGAGGTGAGGGCCTGGAGGGAGAGGGCAGCGACCTTCAGGGAGAGGGGTTGGTCTTTGGTCTTGCCTGCTCCGAGTTTGACTCCCGCCTTGAGCCTTGGGCCTTGTGACGTGGAAGCCAAAGATGTTTATTTGATTTTGGGCCGGTTTAGGAGGGACAGACAGTGTTCAGGACAAGGAAGGCAATAATCCTGCTGCCCTCTGCCTGGTCAGGCCATGTGGTCAGTTTTGGGTACCTTGTTTTAGAAAAATCAGTGAAAGATTGGAGCCAGACCAGCCAGGATGGTGAGTGGAGTAGAAGCCAGGTCATACAAAGATCGACAGAAGGAACTTGGGGTGCTCCTTTTGGAGACTTGGGGGTCATGAGCCCCGGCTTTTGAGTATTTGAAGGGTTGTCCCATAGGAGGAGGATTAGACTTATTCTGATTGGTCCCAGAGGGCAGAACGAAGAGTGATAGGGAGTTGCAGAGAGGAGGATTTCAGTTTGAGGTCTGTGAAGACTTCCCCCAAGTGAAATGGGCTGCTCGGGAGGTAGGGAACTTCTGCTCCCTGGAAGTCTTCAAGGACAGGTCAGATGAGCACCTCACTAACATATCGTAGCAGGGATTCCTGGTCAGATGGCTGTTGGAGGACATCAATCCATAACACACATTTTTTCAAGCACCTGCTAAGTACCAAGCATTGTTCCAAGCTCTGGCAATTTGTCTGCAAAGAATGAAACCATCTCTGCCTGCAGGGAGCTTATACTCTAATGGAGGAGACAAGGGCATATACAAATTTATACGGGGTAAATAGGATATTAAGAAATATGTGTATACAGAATCAATAATTGAAAGTCCTTTGGGAGGGAGGAACGAGCAGATGGAAGGATGAGAACAGCCTTCAGGGAGAAGGTGGTACTTGACCTGTCTGTTCTAGAAAGAGAGGGGCTCTGAGGCAGAGGTAAGGAGGAAGTGCGTTCTAGGCAAAGGCGTGGAGAAGGGAGATGGAATGTGGTGAGTGAGGAGCAGGGAGAAGGCCAGTTTGGCTGGATCTTGGAACTGCAGGAGAGGCCAGTGATGAATGTCCGTTGAGGCCAGGTTGTTCAGGGTTTTAAAAGGTAAACAGCTGGGCAGCTAAGTGGCACAGTAGATAGAGCACCAGCCCTGGCATCAGGAGGACCTGAGTTCAAATGCAGCTGCACTTACTAGCCTAATCACCCTGGGCAAGTCACTTAACCTTGATTGCCTTGGGAAAAAAAAGTAAACAGACCAGCTTATATTTTATCCTGGAGCCACTGGTGGTGGTTGAGTAGGGGAGGCACAAGGTGAGAGCTAAGAAAAAGCGTTGTGTAAGGTGGATTGGCTTGGGCAGAGACCTGAGACAGGGAGACTAGTTAGGAGGCTGCTGCAGTCATCTGGGCGAGAGGTAAGGGCTTGAACTGAGGAGGCAGCTGTTTGAGGGAGAAGAAGGGGTCGGGTGTAAGAGGTGTTATGAAGTCCCTAAGTCCCTTCTGAACTTTGGTGACTCCACTCTTGCTCCTGTCCCTTGACAGGGACTTGTCCCAGCTGGGCATAGAGCTGGCCCGGACCTCCCGTACCATCCACTCAGCCAGCGTAGGGCTGAGCGGGAGCCTCCGGCTGGCGGAGAGCAGCAGCGAGGCCGCCATGGAGAAGGCCGCCCTGCTCCGCACCCAGCTGGAGGAGCAGCTGCGCGACAAGGTACGCGACATGATCCAGCTCCAAGTGAAGAGCGACCTGGAGAAAGCCGAACTCAACTCCAGGTCAGTCAGTCGGTCAGTCAGCAGATGCGGCTTAATTCCTTACTGTGGTCCAGGCAGGAGGCTGAGCCTCGGGGGTGCCGCCTCCAGCCAGGCCACCAGATGTGGCCACAACCCTGCGCGGTGGCTTGGATATCCCAGATCTGAGGGATGCCTCAGTGTTCCAGGACCCTGTAGTCTGGGCAGCCAGCCTCCGTAGCTTTGGGCTTCCAGGAAGCCGCGGAAAATGGGGATGGATGAAGACGGGCCGGGGAAGGAAGGTGGGATGGGAGGAGGGTAGATTATAGTGTCCTCCTGCCTCCCTGTATACGCATTCAAATGACATGCTATGTGTACGACATCGGGCAACCTGAACGCTCTATGAATGTGAGCTGTTATCATTGCTGCTATTTCAACAAAGATTTATTAAGCACCTATGCCATCATGGAAGGGAAGATAGAAAGTTTCAGTGAGACAGCCCCACCCCCGGGGGCTCGTATTCCAAGAGAAGGGTCAGGGGTATAGACAGATCACTGGAATACACGGTGCTGCTAGATAAGAGGGCCGGACCGGGGTGCTGGAGTCATTCCCTTCCCTTGGCCCATCAGGGTGAACGAGCTGACCTTGCTGGTGGAGCAGCTTCAAAGCCAGAATTCAGAGAAGGACCGAGCCAACGAGGCCCTGACCCAGAAGGTGGAAGCATTGGTGAGAAACACGTTGGGCTGAGGGGAGACGAGAGTTCCCAAGCCTGGACATCTCTCCCTGTGACAGAGCTGTCTCTAGGGCTGGAAGGCAGGGGGAAGGATATAGGGCTTGGAGAATAATAACCTCCAAATGCGGGCTATGCTCGACCGTCCGCCTGTCTGATGAGGCCCTGTATGGACTCACTCTTCCTGGAGTGGGGCCTGTGCGGTTGGGGGCAGGGCTCGGCCTGCCTCTTCTAGCTCTCCTGCTTTCTCTGTTCCTGTTACCACCTAGAAGTATTTGCAGTGGAAAAAACACTGACTAGAAATCAGGACACCTGTATTCTAGTCCGAGGTCTGCCCCCAATTCAGTGTGTGACCGTAGGCAAGTCATTTTCCTTTTATGTGCCACAGTTTCCCTGATCTGTTCTTTGGTTCTTCCAACTCTGACATTTTATGTTCTATGGGCCCTCCCAGCCCTGACACCCTGTGTTCTAAGGGCCCTCCCAGCC